CCATATCCTCCAAATTATGGGGAAGGGTGGCAATGTGTCGGGTAGTGTGGCTTGTCCTGGTTGGCCCTGCCCTAAATTGCTCAATCTTGGGCCGCTAGATTTAGCTTGAGGGACGGGCCCAAGCCTAAAATCTAGGTCTAGTTGCTGGGCTGGCTAGCCAACCTTTTTTTTTTCAAATGAATTTTAAAAAGATATTGGTTGAGTTTCTACTGGCCTGACCTGACCCATTAACGGCCAGGCAAGGCCATCTAGTTGAGGGACCAGGCTGGGCATGGACCCCTTTGGCTCGGTCGAGTTTGGGCCTGGCCCAGGCCATCCCTTGGTTGTCCCCTTGCCACCTCTGATCAAGGGTGACATAATAATTCCTAGGCCCCTTTATGCAAGGCTTCTTCTGCCAAACCCCGTTTGCTTACTAATTCTTGTTGAGCAGAGTCTGTCTTGGGCTTTCCTTCCTCAACATAGTAATATTTAACTTCTTCTCCAAAACATTCGCTGGCCTCACATTCTCCGCATATCTCGTTTTCTTTTCCTTCTTTCTTCTACATTGCTCACCTCTAATACTAGCCAAGTGTTTCTCTAATGATGTATGCTGGTATTATGAATAATTTTGCAAAATATTTGTTCCATTCTATTTCTTTTTGTTCCAAAGTCCAAATATTCAAAAAATCACTAATTGAAAACCAAATCATCTGAAAAGTCATCAAGGAACTCAAACCCATGCTAGAATAAAATTTCAAAATCAAAAGGTCTAGAATCAAAATTTGAGACTAGAAAAAAATCACAAAACCTAAACCTAAATATTTGGAAAGTCATTATGCCTAAACAGAATCTTGAGAAAAGTCATCAATAAACCGATATCTATATTAGAAAAACTTTGCAAAATCAAAGTTGAAGCCCGAAATCAAAAATTAAAAATAGAAAAAAAAAAAAAAAAAACTTGTGACTTGGAAATCACAAATGAACAAACCCAACTTGGAACTTAGAAATCACAAAACCAAAAATCTATCTTGAAAAAAAATATCCAAAACCCAATCTTGAAAAGTATCTAGTAACAAAATCTCAAAATTGAAATAAGCTAACCTTTTTAAACCTAATCAAAGTTGGCGCTAATTGGCAAGCTGTGGCTCCTTTAACATCTTCTTGAGTTCACAAGGAATCATTTTTTAGTTTCTATCCTTTTTTTTTTGTAGGAATTGGACAGAACACAAAAGAGTTTATTCTTGAAAAAAAATTCTCTAATATTGGTTCATATGCATGTGGCAGGTTATGTGCATTTAACATTGAATCTTATGTTCTTAATTTTGAGTTAGACTACTACATAGATAACAAGGTTATAAAGAAAGTAAACTCTTGTATGTGAAACTCTTATGTCCTTCTTATCTATCACTTGTTGGTCTCGGATTTTGTTAGTTTTCCGTATCTAATCTCTTCTAGGTATTCTAACATCTGAGATGCATTCTTTTTTGTTATCCCTGTCTTTACTGTATTTCAGCTGCGTTAGTTGATTTTGATACGTGTCAGTTGATTTTCTTAATTGGTTGGGTTTGTAGGCATGTATAAATGCTAAAATATATTTGCTAATCATATCAGTGGATTCTATCAAATGGGTGCGCCATGACAGTATCGTTATTGGATGCATTCAGTTGACTAAAGATGGAAACGAGGATCGTTGTTCGGTTCATGTCATCACTAGCAATGGCTGTGAAATAACAGAAGTTAGCTTGCTATTGAAACAAAGGCTACTTCACTAGTTGTTTATTATTTTGTTTTTGTAGATTGTCCTTTCCTTACTTTCTTGCATTATTTTCAGTATGAGCTTTCTGTTTAAAAATAAGGCAAGCTTTCTATGCTTCCCCTACAGCATTAAACTTATATGCTTCCCCTTATTCATCCGTCCATTCTACATGGAGGGCTAAGATTGCGCAATCACAATATCGCGTCTCTACATTATTTTATTTTTAATTTTTTTCTATAAACTATTTTGACACCAAATTTTAGACGCCCAATCCTCTATTAAACTTGCACTAGCAAAAAATATAAAAAAAATATTTTAAATAAAATAAATGACCAAAATGCCCCTGAAAGTTTCAAGGGGTATTTTGGTCATTATATTTTATCGAAAAATTATTTTTAATTTTTTTATAGGTGCGCTCCAATGAGAAGATGGCACGTACTAAATTTCATATTCATACAATTTTTATAAAAAAAACTAAACATAAAATACTTTGAGACGTCAGATCTAAGATCAAACGGTGTGTGGCTCTCTTGATCAAAATTGGACGGCTGGTTGGTAAGGGAGGATAGAACTTCTATGCCGTAGGGGAAGCGTACAACCTTTCCCTTAAAAATATTTAATATCAGTTTTTCACTTGTTTGGATACTTTCATTTTTAGTTAACATGTATGCTATTGTTAAATTGTTGGTACATTTATCCATGTACTTCTAGAGAAGTATAGAAGATAAGATTTACATGTGGAATATTATTGGGATGATAACTTAATAACTCGAGGTTCTTTCTTGCAAATATGACATTTTCATGCTTCATTGGTCTGAAACTTTTGGGCTTCTTCCTCGATTTGGATGGCACTTGGTTAAACAAATTTGAGGTGATAGATGAGCTAGTTATCTTGGTTGTGGCATCTTATGATTCAGAACTTAGGCTGTCGCTAGTTCTTATGATTGATTCAATAGTTGGTTTTGACCATTTGCATATTGAATTTGGGGGCGAAGCTCTTCAATAACTGAAGTTCCTTATATTCTTGTACACGATTTGTGCATTGATAATTCCTATGCTCCCTTTTTTGACTATTTGTTGGCTTTTGGATTTTATGTTCAAGTATGTGCAAGCATAAGGTGGTGTTAGAAAACGTGTCCAAAGTTTTGCATATGTCTCGTTATTAAATGGTAAATGGAAATATGGCTGACTTACAGTTGTTTTGCAGGCATCTTCAAGTATTGTAGCTCTGTCCTTCAGTGATTTTTCCCTAGCTGTGAATGAGTTGATTTTACCAAATGGACATGGGCCATACTTGTTTGCGAACTATTTGGACATACGGTATGTGATTTTATTTTCTTTTGCATTTGCGTATTTGAGATTATTTTAGTTAAATGATAATGTTGATATTATGTTGTCTTCTTGCGCAATCTTCTTCTGTGGTCTATCAAGTTTTGTTAGTTGTAAGTGATAAAGGGATAGACATAGTTTTGCATGTTTGCAAAGAATACCCTTGCAAAACCTGTATAAATGTAGTTTTATTCCAAAATGTTGTAGGCGTGCTTAAAAGCATGCATCCCAGCTTGCAGCTCGTATACCTCTAATGAAGAAGCATACATATTAAGATGCGCATGATAAACATAGAAAAAATCCCATGAAATAATGACCTCATGCTTTGTGGCTTGCGACTCTCTGCAAAAAATTATCTAAATTTGTTCCTTCGGATAATAAAAGTACATCGTGATTTGATTTTTTTTTTTTATGGTTTAAGACTTCTGAACAGTTAATTCTTTGTAATACTGCTGATAAAAAAGTCTCATAGTTTCTGGGGAATTCCATTGAAATTCCAATGTGTTTCTTGAAAATATATCTTATGGTGTTTCTTGTATTGTTTTTGTTGCGGCCACAAATGTTGTATTGATGTCCTTGATTTATTCTATGTCTGGTAATGCTGGGGAGCTTTGTTGTTTGTAAGGTAGGGGGCTTGTTGTTGCTTCTAATAGGAAGATGGCAGATGAACATATTGTTCTCCTGGGATGGTTTTTTGATGGAAAGAAGAGGGAAGCAACAGCCATTGAAATCATACAAGACAAATGGAGGCCTAGGATTGAGCTGCAAGGTGCCTTTTTGATGGGGAATCCACGTTTATGTTGATAATAGTTATAGATTGCATAGCATATTTAAATGGTCCTTTTAAGGTGATTAATTGAGGTGTTGTTGCTGTCTACAAGTATATGGTTAATTGGATTCAAGTTTTCATTGTTTTGTCCATTGGTTCCTTACGTCATTGGAGCAAGTTGGGAAAAAAAAAGGGCTTTCATTTTTTGCTCAAACTTGGACCTTTCTTTCATTATGCATATGCGCAGAATAACTTCAGATATTAAATGCCCTTTAACTTTTCCTCTAGAGTTGTTTTTGGATTGGGTGTAATTCTATTGTCTGTTAGGATGAGAACACATCATTAGCTAAGGTTGACATTCTACTATCAGGAGGCATGATGGTTCTAATTCGTGTCACATCTTTACATAATTGAACATCAGTCCATTATGGGCATTTTTATCATTACCCTTCACAAATGATAAATTGACGCAAGCCAGAAATGGCCAAAAAGAAGGTGAGGGCGTTTAGTGTCCTAAATTATTTGTTGAAGGCCAAGATATTTGACCCATTTTCCTATACACTTTTGCTTCTTTTTCTCTTTTTTTTTTTTCCTTTCCCCGGTTAAAGTCTAAGTTGTTTTGAGGATTCTTTGAATGAGATGTAACCTGAAAACAGAGTTCATGGACAAATGAGAGCTTCTGTTGTGTATAATGATCTGTGCTGAACCCTTTCTTGTGTGAGTGAGTTTGCCTTGTTGTTGGCTTCTCTAAGCCCCTTGGATTAATATACAGGGACCTCCTCCCTAACCTACCAATTCATAATATTTGCTGGTATAATAGTATTTATCGGTAAATTGCTAGTGTTAGCCCCAACCCCAATTAGTTGGGAAAAGGCTCTGACGATGATGATCTATAGGTAAATTGCCTCTCTGATTCTCCATTTGATCTTATTGAGCGAAGCTCCATCCTAATCAAATGGTTTATTCAAAACAAATACACTTTTATTGTTTGCCGGGGTTTTACCCTAAGTTGAGTGATACTCAGCACAGGATCTATGTAGTCTTCAAGAACTCTTCTAACATGAACTCTAGTTAAACCTCCCAATTCTGCTGTACCCAGGGGAATCTGCCATCAAACCTGAGCTTCAGGAAACGCTGCATTTGGGTCACCGATCGTACCCACCATACCCTAGATCTGGGTTTTAAGGTGCTGCTTCAAGAAACAATCTTCTACCTCTATTAGATCCTCTGCTTTGAAGCCCAATAACTTCTTAAGCACTGGCATATAAAATCTGAGTCCTCAATTCATTCCCTGAGCCGCTGAGGCTAAAAAACTAATACATGAACCATTTAAAATCCTATTAGTTCTCTCTTTCTTGATACCTCTGAAGATCACACTAGTACGTTACATATTGGACGCTTCTCCATGTTTGTACTGATTCCAGCATCACTCGTGGCAATGGTACCTCAAAGAGACCATAAGTTGCTCCAACCACCATAGGTACAATGACGCGGCAATGGTCTACATTCTCCTTAACTTCCCTACCTATGAAGCAAATATTAAGAATACTCCCCAATGTTTTAAAATGCGGCTGCATCATGTGGTATGCGGTGGGCATTGCATCTGCGTAGACCGCATATGCGGTTTTGAGTGCCGCATCGTTTTCTGCAAAAAAAAATTCGATTGTGCTCCTCGGGGAGGGGCAAAATGGTCTTTTTGACCATCAAAAATTGGGGGAAACAATTTGGGAGGGTATTAAACCCCCTAAACAATCATTTACAGCCACCTTCGTGGCTTTTTTGGAATCAAATCGAGCTAAAAAAAAATTTAGGAGGAACTTTTTTTTCATTTAGATCTTGGATTTGGGGATTGTTTGATACTTGGATATTGATTTTTGATACTTGGATATTGATTAGAACTTTTTGATTGTTGATTTAGGAAAGTTTAGGTGAATTTCTGACAAGAAATCGGGGGTTTAAGAGGCCATGAAGAAATTGAGCACTAAAATTGGGGATAGTGGATACAAAATCTTCGACAGCTAATAATTTTGGGGTTAAACTAAAATACCTACTTTCACATATATCACCTTCATATTTTTTTTCTATGCATTAACACTTATTTTTTTAGATTTTTTTGAATTTTTTTACATTTATTGACCGCATCGTCGCGATGCACCCGCATCGAGCCGCATCGGCCCCCCCATCGCTTTTGGTCGCATCCCACATTTTAAAACACTGATACACCCCACACTTTTATGTGTGGTTAGCGTTAGTCAATTACTGAAAAGAAAGCCTAGGATGGAGGCAGATTTTCCCAAATGTTGCGACCTAGGGTTCTTTTCTGCCACCCCATTCCCCTCGAAGATCCTAGGGAAGGTACAGAGAAAGGACTCATGCTTTCCCAATTCCACACTTGCTTACTGAAGTTTCTGCATGTGATAAATTTTTCTTCAAGATACCATAATATGTGCCCTAACTCATCCATCGTCACGTCCCTCAAAGCGTTTCTAGGACATGGTTGCCATACCACTTTGTCCCCTCTTAATCCCTCGCCTCAAGTGCCAATGCTAGTCAAGCCTAAGGTGAGATCTGGAGATTCATTGCTTCATACCTTAGATAGCTTACAGGAAGCTTGGGCAATAGATTCTTGCTTCTGTAGGCCACATATTCTTACATGTCTCTGCGACACCACTTTTGGTGCACCAGTTCAAAGTATCTACTATATTTCTCTGCTTTTCATTTTTGTTAGTTAATCCTGTATCTCTGACCCATCTCTAAGGTATTTAGCTATTATGCAGCCTTCCTTATAATTGTGCTGCACTGCTAGCTTCCATCCCCAACTTACTTGTAAAATCATTGTACAATTGGTCTGATTTGTCAGAAATTGGCTAGTTTCATAGTTGTTGATTGGAGAAGAAAAAGAAAGTGTTGCTATTATTCAGTCGATCTAGTTAACTATTTAGCGTGATTCTCTTGTTCTTAACCATCTTTAATTGGATATGGTATTCTATTGGAGCCTTGATGATTCATTAGGGCATGGATTTTGTGTTGTGTGGTTTGCTGTTGGATATACCTCTTTTTGGCTTGTCAGATATCAGTCTGTTGATCTTATTATTTCCAATACCTTCATGGATGGCATGAACTGCACTTCTATACATTGTTGAATTATGTACCACAGGCACATCAGTTTGATGCACGAATGATAAAAGTAGATTATTGTTTTAACATTGGTTATGTTGCTTTAGTTTAAGGAATGGAGTTCATCTTTTAGTCTAGTTGCACTAAGCTTTCTTTTGTCAACTGACTTTAGAAAATGGAGATGATAATTTGGTGGTGGGATTTGGTGTGGATAAGACTTCAACAGATGGCATATTTGAAATCAAACTTGCGGATGGAGAATTAAAAGAAATTTCACCATATCATATTCTGGTCGTCGTAACTATTGACGGGCATATTGATTTGTTTTGTATTGCCAGGTGGTGTTTCTCCTCTATTTTGATTGGTAAAATGTCCTGTTTTTATTTTTGAAGTTGGGGGTTTCATGTATCTCTGAGAAGATGGATTGAAATGGATTGTGTTTTAATTTTTTTTTTACGAGCGATAGAAGCCCAAGGTTGCTTTGTTTTGATTCTAGATGGTACTGTTCGACTTTTTTATTATCTCAATTTTTTTGCAGTATTTCTGCACCACCAGCTTTTCCTGAGGTGCACTCTGAGCTGCCTGACAGTGTGCAGGATGCAGGAGCATGCACTTCAACAATTTCAGATGTTGGACATGGATTATCTAAAACTGCATCCATTTCTTCTATTCTTGATACCCAGGATGATTCCATGACTTCACAGGTTGAGGGAGTACTTGGTGGAGCTGATGAATCAGTGAAGAAATATACTGCTGGAGAGTCTGAGCCAAACGAGAATTTGAGTTCCCCATTTGTGTCATATCAATCATCAAATAAAGTAACAACGATGAGCTCAATTACTTCTGACTATGCAAGTCCATTTACCTTTAACAATGTAGAATTGAAAAATCAGGGGATTTTGACATCGGAAGGCCATGATAAACAAAGGTTTAGTACTACTGCAAGTCAAAATCAAGGCACTGCTGGTAACAATGCAGATACTCTAAGTGGAGAGAAACCAATATCAGGAATGTTTGATATACAATCACCTCTAGTGCAAAGCTCTGCTCCTGGACTGAAAGATTCTGCCAATATAGGTGTACTACAAAGTCTGTTTTGGATACTACTGATATTGAAGTGAGGAATAGCTCTATGATTAGAAGCATCGCTGTTAACACAGCTGCTATTATGAAATCAAATTCTCTAGGTTTACTCAATAGAGATGACTCGGCAAAGATTTCTGTGGACAAAACTAGATCCATTGGCTTTCCAACAGTTGCATCTGAACCCCAGTCTGGTGGAAACTTCTTTGGTTTTAAAAATTTTACTGGCCCATCTCCATTGTCATCTTTGGCTTCTAAGGGAGACCACCTCTTCTCTAGTCATCAAGGAAATGAGAAAAATATTCTTTCAAGTTCACGACAGGAGGTTTCTTTGCCTAGGATGTCTGGCTATTATAATGAAGAATTCAAGATCAATGGTAGAGGTCACAAGCCTCCCGGGACTGTGGACTCTGAAGTGGACTTCATGAAGGAATTTGGCAATGTAAGATTTATTACTTGCCATATATGCTCTTGATGTTTCTGATTGCTCTTAATTGTAGCCTTATATTCTCTTTGATTACTTCCCACATCTGAATTGATTGCTTGTAGTCTACAAATTCCATATTGGATAAGCCAGACCCTCAACTTGTTTGTAGTCTTTCATCCAGGAATACGCAGGAATTGATCAACCTTGAAGCCACCTAATTGTCATTTTCTCTTCTTTCCATTCTAGACAGGGTGTTTCATTGGGGGTAGTGATTGTTGCATGTCTTCTTAGTAAATCATGTTATTTTTTTCATTGAATTATATGCCGTCCAAGTATATGTTTATCCAGTTACATGGTATCTGTAAAACTGTTGCTTATGGTTTCCAAGTCATCGCAATTGATTGTTTCCAACATCCAAGATTCAACTCATTCAACCAAAAATGTTTGTTCCACTTATTTAGGACACTCGTAGGGAATTGAATGCTTTATGTCATGTCTTGGCAATACCATACTTATTGCTGTATAATTTGGGGGCCTCTCAGCCGTGGCTCTTATGTATCATTAGTGATGGGAATTATTTTCTACCGTCTGGACTCTTTTATCTCACATTGATGAGCTTCCAAACAGCTGGTTGTCACCTTCAATCTTCCATTTTCACTCAACCTGTCAATCAGTGTATGTGGTTGCCTCTCCATAATGAAGTTTTGAAATCTTTTCCTAACTCATCCATGATGGCAACTTACTGTTGTTTCTAATATTGCTCTCTATGCATCAATCCAAAGCATAGTTGTCGGTTCTCCCAACCTAAGTCTCCATCTCGCTCTGGAATCTCACTCCTTCGCTTTTTTTTGAGAAAGGTTAACTTTATGTTAATACAGTATAAATGTACAGAAAGCACTAATTCTATGGTAAAGGGAGCCCACAAGTGGGTGCTCAGAGTACAAAAGTACGGAAAATAGAAATGAATTGCTAAAACCAAAAATAAAAAAAAATCCTTAATATATGTGTGAACTGCAGAAACGGGATGCTGCTGGTGCACCTTCAAGGGTGAGGGAGAAGGCCATCTGGCAGTCATGGAAGCCCAAGTGTGAAACACAGCGAAGAAGAGATAGAGGTAGGTAGTAAAGAAGAGTTGGAGCGAAGGAGAAGGAGAGGTTAAGGGGAGAGGCAAGAAAAATAGAGTTGAGTGGGCTCAGTGGACAGCACCATATTCTAAAGCCTTGAAACTTGTGCATGTGAACCAAGTATTGGCTGCACTTCCTGCCCGTGGTATAGCGTGGAATGGGGCGAGAAGATGAGAAAAGAAAGAGAAGATATGATGAGAGTAAGAAGAGAGGTTAAAGAGAGAATAGAGGAGAGGTAGGGAACAATGAACGAAAATTCGGCCTCCCTGTAGCCTAGGCAACATTTTTAAAAAAAAACACCTAGTTGTGGACTAGGCGGCCTATCCTTGGCTGCTTTTGCTAGGCACCCTCCAAGATGGTGTAAAAGGTTGGCGCCTAGGCGCCGCTTACACCTGCACCAAAAAATAGTACTAATTTGTAATTATTAATTTATTGGTAAACCAAAAAATAATAGTAATCTAGTTTTAATTAATATATTGAAGGATTAGAATTTTTATGCCACTTGTTGTTTTGCATGTAATAGTAATTATTTATTTATCGATAAATCAAAAAATAATATTAATTCATAAGTATTAATTTATCGAAAATGCTTTTTGCATGTGATGGTAATTATTAATTTATTGGTAAACCAAAAAAATAATATTAATTTGTAATTATTAATTTATCAAAAATGCTTTTGCATATAACAATAAGTATTGATTTATAGGTAAACCAAACAATAGTATTAATTCATAATTATTAATTTATTGGTAGAGCAAAAAATAGTATTAATTCAGCGTTAATTAATATATGGAAGGATTAGACGTTTTATGCAACCTGTCGAAAATGCTTTTTGCATGTAACAATAATTATTAATTTATTGTTAAATTAAAAAAATAGTATTAATTTGTAGTTATTAATTTATTGAAAATGCCTTTTGCTTGTGATAGTAGTATTAATTTGTAATTATTAATTTATTGGTAAACCAAAAAATAGCATGAATTCGATTTTAATTTATATATGGAAGGATTAAACTTTTTATGCCACTTGTCGTTTCGCATGTAACAGTAATTATTAATTTATTGGTAAAACAAGAAATAATATTAATTCGTAATTATTAATTTATCAAAAATACTTTTTGCATGTGGTAGTAATTATTAATTTAATGGTAAGCCAAAAAATAGTATTAATTTGTAATTGTTAATTTATAGTTTCGTAATTATTAATTTCCAGTGTATACAAAAAAATGCGGGGAGGTGTGGGGGATCCAATTTTTTTAAAAAAGACAACACAAACCATCTTTGGGCCTGAGCGCTCGCCTAGGCGGCCCAGAGCCCAAATCGCCTAGGCGGTGGTCGCCAACGCCTTTTAAAACATTGGTAGGGAAAGAAAGGAGGAAGAAAAGTATGGGGGTGAGAGAAAGCAGTGACTAGAGAAGGGCGAGAGAATTAACGGTAAGCAAGAAGAGAGACTGTGGAGAAGGAGAGTGAGAAGAGAGAATGGAAAAGAGAGATAGAGACAAGAATGAAGCCTGAGTGAGGAGGGGGAAGAAGGATGAGAAAGAATGAGGAGCCGATTAGAGATTAACATTAGAAGCTAGAGGAAGGAAGACTTGACAGAAAATAGGGCAAGGCCAGTAGCTGTCATATTATTTGCTCTTCACCTTTCTAATTTTATTTTCTTCTGTTTTTTTTTTCTCTCTTTCCCTCCTTTTTTTTCTTTTTTAAAGCGGGGGAGAGGTGGAGCAAAGAGAAGAGAGAAGAATTAGAGAGAAGTGGAGCTAGAACCTGGAGCTAAGAGCGCCACGTCTTTAGCTAGCCTATCTGCTGTTGAATTAACTTCTCTGTGTATGTGTATGAAAGAAATAGAGGTAAGGATCTGATAAAAAATGGGTGCAAGGCGCCATGGAGGCTGGCTACGGTTTGAAGCCAAGAGAATAGTGTTGCAAGACTCAGCCTCTACTAAAATCCCAGCATATTGATGAGCTGTTTTAGATGCTCTCTTGAGGCCTTCGAGTAATGCCAGGGCTTCCGCTGTGATGGATTCTAAAGCTCCCAGGTGACCTGGGAAAGAAAAGAAGACTCCTTCGGAGTTGGCAAGGGTACCACCAAACCCGAGGGACCACTATTTCTAATGGAGGATCCTTCATAGTTAACTTTAACCAAGCTAAAGGGTGGAGTTCTCCAAACATCTTGGCCCAGAAAGAAATCAGGGCCATAATGGAATCAAATAGGAGGAGAAAGATGTCTAGCTGTACCCAGAAGATTCTTGAGTTCCTTTGGAACCAAATAGACCACAATAGAGCCAATATAGAGATGCGCCATAACATATGACCACTTCTTAGGGAATGGGGGAGCGAAAAGAGTGGAGAAGAGTTGCGGTAGAGAGGCAGAGGTGGCCCATTGGAGATCAAAGAGCTGGAGGAGGGAGGACCACATGGAAGAAGCGACGTCACAATGGAGTAAGAGATGAGGAATGTTTTCCTCGTCATGAAGACAGAGGCTGCAACGATTGGGCAGAGCAAGGCCACGCCTTTGAAGCTGGTCAAGGGTCTGGAATTTGCCCTACAGAAGGATCCAAGTGAATGTTGGACCTTAAGAGGGACAGAGATGGACCAAACTTTATTGAGGAGGGGAGAGAGATCCAAAGTGGCCACAAGGGCATCTTAGTTTGTGGCTAGGAGGAAGAGAGAAGGGAAGACTAGAGGTTGGTCTCCTATCCAAAGATCCTTCCAAAATCTAATTTTAGATCCATCCCCTATCTTAAATCTAATGAAGGTTCTGAAGGCAGATTTGAAAGGCGATATCTACTTCCATGCATTTGAAGCACGGGTAAAGGAGAACAAGGTAGCCAACCATCCTCTCCCATACCATATTATTACTTGTTTCTATAGAAGAGTGTGTGGGGACGTGAATCTCGACCATCATTTACCTAATAAGGCAGAATTCATCAGGGTTATGTTCTTAATGCCTAGGCCACCACACTTTTTGGGGTTACAAATCTTATTCCAAGCAACAAGGTGAAATTTTTTACCATTGGATTCCCCATTCCAAAGGATATGCTGCATGAGTTTCTCTAGGCGATTGTCTACAGAGGAAGGAATCTGGAAGAGAAACATCTGGTAAATGGGAATATTAGCCAACGTCACTTTGATGAGGGTTATCCTTCCTCCATGGGACAAGAATCTGCCTTTCAAGTTTGCAAGCTTCCAAGAGAACTTTTCTATGACATTGTCCCAAAGTTGTTTCTTAGGTTTCCTAGACAGAGGGTTAGGCCCAAATAGAATGAGGGTAGGCGCTCGATGGAACAAACTAAATGATCTTCTAAGGATTGAATTTTAGGTTATAGGACCTGCACTCTCAACATTTTAGTTACGGACCTATTGACCTTCATCCCTATTGTAAGCTCGAAGCATCTGAGGAAGAGCTAAAGATTATCTAGCTATGAGGGTTCAGCCCCATAGAAAATTAAGGTGTCATCAGCATACAAAAAATGGGAGATGACGGGGCCAACTCTAGAGATTTGGAACCCCTTTGGGAGGTCCTGATCAAACAACCTGGAGATGGACTTAAAGAAGAGTTCCCTTATGAAGGCGAACAAGAAAGGCGAGAGGGGGTCTCTCTATCTAAGACCCCTATAGGAGGGGAATAATCCCACTGGAGAACCGTTAATAGTGATGGAAAAGAAAGGATTGGAGATACAAGCTTTAATCCAAGATCTCCACTTGGGGCCAAATCCCATGCAATTAAGTAGCTCCCAATCTATTCGATCATAGGCCTTTTTCCAATCTAACTTGATGGTGAGGCTTTGGATCTCGAGATAAACCTAGAGTGAATAGCTTTATGTGCTACGAAGGTACCATCAAGGATTTGGCTATTAGCAACAAAAACTGATTGCACAGGAGATCTGAAT